ATCCATATCCATTGATGATGCCTGTTTGTTACTTGAAGAAGCTTATAGAAAAGAAAAAAGATATATAATAAAAGGCTTCCTGTACTAATTTTCAATATAAAAGCATGCGTTTATCAGGTGCTGTATTTTATTTTGATGAATAACTGCAGGGCTGTAGCTATTATTGAGGACACTGAGTTCACGCCACCCCCCCTGGACTTTTTCTGGATATTTGGGCGGTTTAAGAACCTGGTGAGGATTTAACAAAATAAAATCTTAACTCAAGGTTCATTCAGCAGATTTCTTCACTATAACAACTCTATGAACTCCCATCTGCTGATTAAAGGACACAATATGTGGCTGAAAGAAATCTAGTAAGTTGACCTTGAGTTAAAGAGTAAATCTAAAATATATCCTCATTCTCTATGGTGTCAAAATTTCCTGGAGTGAGGGAGGGGTGGGAGGTACATTGGGGGGGATTTGGACTCATGACCTCAGTATTTATAAAAGCCCTGATTATAGGTGGCTTAATGGAGCTTAACTAAACAGAAAAACTAAATCCAGCTGCGACTGTAGATCCTCCCCTCTCCTTAACGAACAACAAAATTAATGTGTGTGTGGGTATTCATACACATGACAGATATTCTATTTATAATAAATCAACTGTTTACATAGAAGGAGATAAACCCATGTTTTTAAATACTATTCAAATTTATTTATTTTTTTACTGGGCTAGTATAACAAATTAATACAAAGTACAACTCCGTAGACATCATAGATTGTCAAAAAAAGTAAAGTACAAAACGCTTGAGGTAAAACATCGTTTGAAAAAGATTCAGTTAAAAAGCCCTTATTAAAATTTAAATTCATTTAAAGGTAAAAGCTTACTTTACACTATCTAGCTGTCCTAAAAACCAACAATGCACTTTTATTTACAAGGTAGTGGTGGTGCAAAATACAGTGTGTGAGACGACATTCAGTCAAAATGCTCATGTCTTTGTCAAATGTAAACAATAAACATCGTCATTATTCCTCAAACTCCCGCTGTACAGAGCTAACGCAGAAAAAAGCAAATGCTGTCACACTGATGTTTGCTCCAAGAAGAGAATTTTGCATTAGACGTCTATGACAGCCGCTGGCAATAAAAGCAATTCAACAGTCCACATTTTCATAAGATGTCATACAAAAGTGAGAGCAGAAGACGCCATTAACTGTGTTACTCCCAAAAGGCAAGACAACAAAGCGTAAACAGAAAATATAAAACTGCCGTAAGGTTCAAAATACACATATACAAAACAAATCCATGATAAATATGTAAAGTTTCTGTACTTTTTCGGTGTAAAATGGTGGTTCTAACAACCATTTCCACTGCATGAAAACCTCATAAACTCCAATTTTGGTTATTTTTGTGATTTTAACTTCAGTTGAAGGTTTACATTCTCCTCTGTGTGTTAAGGGATAGTGTTGATTATGTTGTATATTTGTGATATTTTCAACAAATCTCATGAAAAGTCTCTAAATTAAAAATAAAATCTGAATGATATAGTGTCTTTGTTGGGTACTATTTTAAGCTGCGGATTAATACACATTTTCAGGCAGCAGGATGGTGTTTGTGAACCGAGAAGCATGTCAGTGCAGCTGTGTGGCTCACTGATGTTAGTGGCATCAATTCATGCAGATTTTGGTCTTTTTTTCATGGGATTTGTCCTCAATAAGAAAATATAGAACACCACCAGACTTATCTCTTAAGAACATTATCTGACTTGAGGATAAAAAAGCTTAGATGAAGTCGTAACTACAGCGTCCTGAAGTTGAAAACCTGGTAAAAGTCCTTTAATAACAGTTCCACTGCTGCGTGTTTTTGTTGGATAAAAGGTTTTCACTCACCAGCAGTGGTCTTGGAAAATTCATCGAACTACAGTCAAAAAGGAAGATGGTACCCATTTAATGAAATGTAGATTTCTTTAATCTTTCTCACAGATTTTTACCGTACACACTGGGGTTGGGGTCGGGGTCGGGGGGAGTTTGGGGGTGCTGCGTTCCTAACGGCAACCGCAGTTACACAGTGCTCTGCCTGCTCTCACGACTGTACCCCATAGCCTCTGAGGAGTGAGGTGGGAAATCAATAAATATCCCATCTGAGTCTGAGTCTGCAGACTCTAACACTTGTCCAATTATGGTTTCAGGGCTGGATGATTCGCTGGGCGGCGTGGAGGATGCACCTTTACTGAGATCAGTCATTGTGGTCGTGGCCTCGGTGCCGTGGAGAGCTCCTGAGGAATGAAGGGGAAGGATGGAGGGAGACAAAAGAGGCAAGTCCATGGCACTCGCTCCCGCTTGTACAATCCCTGTGAACGACAGGGTGCTGGATTAATATGGATTATTACTTTATGATTATTGCTTTTTATGCATAATAACCAACAACCAATCTGTGTCATACCGTTGAACTGAGAGCCCACACACAGTCTGTGGGAGGAGGGGCCAGACAGTTCAGGTCCTGAGGCCAGGTCAGCGTAGGCCAGTCCTTGTTCCTCCAGGCATGATATAATCTCACAGGCCGAGTGGCGCCGGATTCCTCCACTGCCAACGGAGCTGGCATCTGGGTCATACTCAGCCACCGGAGTCAGCAGCAGAGGGATATTGTAGCTTTTCGATCGTACCACAGGGTTTTTAGACGGTTGATCCGCAGACTTAGGCCACGATAAACACTTCTCTGAAAGACGAGAGGAAAAGTAGGGAAGGTGTGGATTAATTTATGTTCCTCGTCAGACACATGACATTATTGCTCTGCTTTTGGGTTCACGCCCCGCACTGTCTCACCCAGGACACAGCAGTGAGCCTCAACGCCATCTCCAGAGTAAAGTCCGTGGGTGCCCAGGTAAGGCGAGACCACCTTCTGAACCAGAGACTCGAGCCTCAGGTAGTCCTCATTCACACCGCGTGACTCGTGGACCCCCTGAACGCAGAGACGGGCATCAAAGTGTAAATTTAAGCCTCCAAATACACCAAAAATAAAGCTGCTTGTTGGTATAATAATAATAACAATAATAACAGAATAAGTCAGCTTCTCAAATGAGTGTAAATTGAATAACTTTGTTTTTATGACTGTAGATCAGACACTAAGCAATAATAAACAATAATAACATACAATAAAACAATATTAGGAAAAAACAATAACAAAAGGAGAATATTTGACATGTTATAGACAGTAATAATTAAAAAACAACAACAACTGACTGCTTGATAGGGATGGGAATCGATATGATGTTATTGATACCAATACCATTATTGATTCTGATTATGGGTCCAATTCTTTGTCGATTCCCTTATTGATTCCTGATCAATAATCAGGTCTACACAGGTTTTCAGCCTTCGATGCAGCTGTTTTATTATCTCTGAGTCTGAACACAGTGTAGAAAAAGAGTTACAGTCGTTTGATTTTCCCGCCACGACTCTTATTCATACTCATATTTAGCAATGTGCAACCGTCAGAAAAACATGCTGGCATTGATTAAAAGGAATTAAAAAGCTCAGTGACGATGCGATTCTGATGGATCGGATAGTTTGGAACCGGTTCTCGATTCCCATCCCTACAGACTGATAATGAAAACAGAAGATTCAGACCTACTGGTCACTTTATTCAATTACAAGTTAACCTAGTTTGTGAAAAAAAAAAAAGGTTCTCACAAATCTCAAAGATCAAAAACATGATCTGGAGCTGTTTTCTCTTGTTGGGAACAGAAAGAATAAGCAAACAATGAGTGAGGAAACAAGCTATTAAGTTTGCCTTGGGGCCTGCAGGCCTACCTGTAAAATAAGCAGCATCTGTGTAACAGAGGGGGGCACTCGGGCGCGAGGTCGGGAGAGGGCGTCCTCTAACTTTACACTCAGGACTATCGTGTTCCTGAAGTGAAGCAGAGCTAGCTGTCGGACAGAGGGCTCCTTACCCTGCACACATTAAGGACACAGAAAGAGGCAGAACTGAGCAGAAATGACCATCATCCAATAAAGGTTGGATATTAAAGTTTGTGGAAAAACCAGCTGACTCTGAAGGTGTTTGTGTACCTGGACTGGATGGAAGATGGCCTGCAGCATCGAGAGAACATCACAGAAGAAGAAGTCCCACGTCTCTGCCAGAGAGTCGAGTAACTTCTGACCTGCATCAAAAACAAAAGACAGCGGATTAAAGCTTAATTCGCCAGCACAGACCGCTGCAAAATGTATTCAGACTGTTTATCCAACCAGTCATACCTTCGTAGAACCTTATTTTGTCCCGAAGGATGACCATGCCTTTTGTCAGCAACTGGTTCTGTGACATTAAGTGAAAAGATGCCATTAAATTCAAACATCAGAGACACCATCACTCCATACCTGAGTGTTAACTATTGTAAAACGTATATATATATATATTAAATAATATGTCTATATATATGTCTATTACCTGAAGGTATTCTGTGAAGAAGGACCCCAGCTCAGTCTTCAGCAGATGCCTGAGGAAACATAAGATGGACAGTATTCAACTATTAATAGCTGTGCTCTCATTTCTGTGTGAATAAAAACTGTTTACCACCCGCATTTAATTCCACGTGTGTGCAATTACATGAAACAGAACCACAGGATGTAAACCGATCTACCAAGCGCCCTGTTTTCCTGCATTATAAACAAGAGTTTCCTGCGTAGTTGACGAAATGTGTCAACCTTCTCGTGGCTTTTCTGTACATGGAAACATGGGCTATAATGGAGGATGATGTGATAGAAGTGATGGGTCTGGTTCAGGAAGATAATGAGATATCTGGCAAGACCACATGACTCCCCAGGCCAACGTACAGTACACTACGCACACAAACAAACTCATTCACGAATGAATGCAGGACAGACTGTAATTATTCTACTTATAGCACAAAATGACACAGACAGTCTAAAATAAGGATGTTTTTCTTTATAGTTGTGTGTGTGTAGCTGTTTCTGTGCCTGTTGAAACCTACCGGACACCTTCATTGAGGGCGTAGAGTTCGTTATCTGCCAAACCTTTCTTCTGGAAGACTGCTATGACAGCGTTGTGGATGCTGAAACATAACACAAACACACACACATTAATATTCAAAATGCATTTTAACCACTACCTCTTTTGCACCTTGTCTTTTGTGTACCTGTTCCAGGTGGCGTTGGCTCCTGCCCTCTTCTGCTTCTCCCCTCTGTCCTCTGGTGAACTTTTCTCACTCTTCCCCAGCTCGCTGAGGCTGGGAGAGCTCATCAACTTCAACCGGTGCAGAGTCCTCATGAGGGAGATATGGAGGAAGTGGAGAGAAACAGAGTATGCACTAAGTACCGGACAAGAGAGAAACAAGGTCAGGCTATGAGCCGACATACACAGAGACACAGAGAAGAAACACGAGGAGAGAGCTGGAGGGGAGGAGAGAACATAAGCAGAGTCTGAGAGAGAGATAGAGTACGCAGAGAAAAAAAAAATGGCACAATGACAATACAAAGAGCGGCCCGGTGACAGAGGAGAAGAGAAGTAGGACAGAATGATGCATGGTGAGAAAGGCGCAGCACGTTAAGAGCAGGATGGGTGGAGCCAAGCCGAGAGGTGGGCCACCGCACTGCCCCAGGTCTCAGAAGGGGAGAAAACAATAGCACATGCACTGATGGGGGCATACTCTTCCTCCCTCTCTGCCTCTCTTTCAGTACAATACAACCATTGATGCAAACAAATATTTATGCAGAGCACAGATGCCAGAGGAACTGCAGGGTAAGCAAACCGAAGCAACTGGGACTTTGTTGTGCTTGTCACTGTACAGCGAGGAGGAGGTGGAGGAGGAAGTTGTCCGGCTTATTGACAGCAACAACAGGGATAGGAAGCAGTGACACAATGCAGACAATAAAGAAGGTTTTCCTGCTCTCCCGTTTTCAGCACAGCTGGTGCAGGACAACAAAAGTCAAAAGTAGTGCAGTGTGTGAGACCAACATATAGTTTAAAGCCGATAATGATATTTGAAAGTCTAAACATCCTGTCTTTATAGCCCCTTGAATAACTTTAAGGTTGCAAAAATCGTCTTTTTTTACCCTGAAACGGTGAGAAACAGTTAGCCTGGCTCTGCCTAAAGGTTAAAAAAAGGGAGCTATGTATCATATCTTCATGAAAACTGCCTAGCAGAGACTCCAAGGAGTCACTGCACCCGGCAAAGAAGTGCAGTCTTTACTAGGATTTAAAAAAAATAGATATAACATGTTAATGAGTGAGCTTTATATATATATACGTTTGGACCCCTGTTTGCAGTCTTTGTGCTAAGCTAAGCTAACTGGCTGCTGGCTGTAGTTTCATATTTACTATTTTAATCACCTTTGAATCCCAGGAACTGACATAAGACCTTTATTTGTCCCAGAGCGGCAATTAGTTCTACCGCAGAAGCCATAAAAAACAACAAAACAATGACAGCACAGGATGAGACGTACAGATAAAAAAGCCACACATACACAGATATTGGAGGAAAAGGTCGAGTACACCAGAGCGTTATCAATCTGCTCATCTAACTCTTGCCAAGAAGGCAATAAACTATTACTTAAAAAAAAGTCTAATACAAATATATATGCCAGTAGTAATGTACAGATAACATTTGATAAGATGCCTGAATTTAGTTTTTACATTTTAAAATTTGTTGAGCACAAAATGTACACTTTGCAGTTGAAAAATAAACTTGTCAGCACTCTCTGGTGGACAAACTAAGGAACAGAGACTCAAACATATCTGTACAGCCCTTTATACCATATATACTGATAGGATATATCTGCTGTTATTATCAATATATTGGCCCCGTCGGTCAATATGAAACAATATCCCCTCTTACACACACGATTCTTTTAAATCCTAACTCACTGCAGGACCTTCACAATATTAAATTAATACAGTCCAGAAACTCTCTGCTGACAACACGGCAGTAAACAACAGACCCCTCCTTTCAACACCCACATACACACAGACACAGAAAACATGGAAAGCAAGTGTACAAACTGATGAGATGTACACACATGAAGGAAGTGAGTCAATCAAACATCCCGCCAGGAGATCATTATCATTAGGGTCAACATGTGTTGCAAGCAAAGCTCAGCCGCCTAATGAAATCTTCTGGGAGAAGAGACGCTGGGATTTTTATGAATGCTAATTAATATTTCATGCATTTTCCAGGATGCTGTGAAATTTTAATTCCCAGGAAGTGAGCCTCACCTCCTGATTGGATGCTCACTGCTGCTGTCCATGTCTGGGCTCGGGGGAGGGGCCGAGAAGGTGCTGAAGTTGAGTGACAGCGGTCGGGAGGAGGGTCTGGAGGAGGGCCGGGAGGCGTGCCTCCGCCGGAGTCCATCAAGCATCTTCAACAGGAGAGGGGAGATAATGGAGAAATGATTATTAAAGACATGTATTTATAAATATATACAAATAATTAGTTTGAACAATGCGTGTGTAGTATGATTTCCACATTAAAATCCTTACAAAGGCAGCTTCAGTGGGATCGTTTCGGCTTAAAATGGCAGATTTTACAGCAGCTTTTCTAAATATTTGTGATGCATGTTGCAGTGTTTTAAGGCATTTTTTGCAATTAGATTGCAGGAGAAAGTGAAAATTGCCCAAAAAGTTGTGTTTTTTTGTGAGTAATTCGTTAAAAATTAAAAGGAAATGCACTGTTAATTGCACAATAACGTTGCACATGTCTGTGTCTTCACAACTAGAAACAAGTACGTGAGCTTGGTGACGTATGGCTCAGCGTTTTATGCAGGAAACTACAATAATCGGTCAAATAAAATTGTAGGTTTGTGCAGAATTCACTGGTTGAATTTTGTGTTAACTGCTGCGATCACAAACATTGCAACTTCCTGGAGGGACTGAAGTTTTCCTGCTGGACGCAAGATGTCTCCTACACTCACTGTGAAGTCAGTGTTTGTGCACTGGTGGCTTTCAGTTTCTACATTACATCTATTTAAGTTTCATACTGGACCCCGATTGACCTCCAACCAATTTGTGATGTCACAAATCATGCTCGTAGGCCCCGCCCCTTAAAAAGGAGAAACTTTCCACTTTCAGCTGACGAACACAAAAACACCCTTCTAGTGTTAAACTCTGCTCATACATCAATCTGCACAGTGAAGCTCAAACATCCGACTGTAGGAACCGGAATAAAAAAACAAATATTATTGAGCAGAGGGGGACTTTAAGGTTTGACTGAAGGTAAACATGAAGCGTACAGGAGTGATCCGGCAGCTGTGTGAGGCATCAGTGTAACATGTCTGAGGCTCTGAAGGAGTCACAACACCTCTGCTACCATTTAGAGACAATGAATGGAATAAAGAAACAATGAGACAAAACAAAAATTAAATCAAACTTACAGTCAAACGGACGCAGGAGAAAATCAAGCCACACGTGTGACCTCCTTAAAGGAGTTATAGTGTTGAATTAACTGTGTGCTTTCTGTTTCCTTGTTATTTCAACACATTGGAAGAATGTTTTGCAATCAGAGCTCACCACCTACGCCCCAACCACACCACAGAAATCAAGAGAAGGGAAGAAATGCATGTGTGAGCACGTACAGCATGAGTGATTCCTGGCAAAAGCCACAAAGCCCTGCATGAGCCTCTCTCTTGGAGTATGACAATACAGTATTACAAGCTATATTTGGGTGTCTCCCCATAGAAAACATTGCACATAGTAAAGCACCATCCCCTGGTCAAAGGGGGGAACAACAGTCTGGGGCTGTCACTCCTCAGACAAAGACACAACACAAGCCTCTTTTCACTGCCACCCTGCCATGCAAGTGATAAAATGGGTGCCTGGTGTGTCTTCAGAGGAGCTGGCCTGCAGTTTTTTTTTATTACAGTAACATCTGAGGCAGAGGCACAGAGGAGGCAGACTGCACACTCCTGTCTGCCCGACGTGCCATGCCACGCCAGTCTGGGCAATTCTGCTTTTGTTCACCCCTCCTCCTTGTCTTTCAGGGGCGACTACAGTCAGAGCGATGCCACTTTTAATTTCTATTAGTCTCCATTGTTTTTTGTTTTTTTTCTGGCCTCGTTTCATATAATAATCGACACAAGGCAGCCAATTTATCTATCTAACAATCAATCAATCGGCCCAGACACACAATCAACAGTCCACGTTTGTCCTACAGGGAGGAATGTACAGCCAGTGGTGCGTACGTGGAGGTTTTTCTATTTTTTTCTACCTGTGTGGAGAGAATGAGGCAAAGTATTACAGTAAACAACGCAGCTGTGTTGTCCTCACACACACACACACACCAGGCTGCACCACCTATGGATGTAACTGTATATGAAATGGCACAAAGTTGCGGTATGGTCATGCGCTCTGCCGCCACTGTAAGCCCGCACTCGCCGTACCTTATCCTGTCGTGTTTGTTCCTGGAGGGATGAAACGATCATGTAGTACCGATTGGGATGTGTGTTTTTACCGCCCGGAGCTCATCGGCGACGGCGGCGAGGCTCCTCTACTGTTCCCCGCCGGTCTGCGCACCCACTCGGGCATCAGGGTGCAGGCGGATGGAGGGTCTGACCTGCGGTGCGGTGGAGGGGGACTCATTCATGAAGCATGCACCGCTCTCTCTCTCTCTTCCTCTCTAGGAAAAGAGAGGCCAGTATGGGAAAGAGAAA